ATCAACTGAGTCAGAACAGGACGTAGATCAGTGAGGAGACTGGATCCATGTACATGCCAACGACGAGCTAGTTTGCGAAGCTGTGTGGTAAAACGCTGATGTAGCATGTCAACATCGCCAAAATACTGATCCTTCATGGACGCGGTCATAATGTCAATGTCGATGTCTGCATTGATGCGTGAGAACTCATCTACCATTACTACATGTTCATGCGCACGATGTAGGAGGCGGTCATCAATGTCTGAACAGCGACACGGGAAAGACATGTCAGGAGTCCACCTGCGTTGCCATGTGCGGTAGTTGTAGATCCTGTCCCCCAAGGTAGCACTGCGAGTTTCCACCACACGGATCTTTGGAAGAAATAAGGAGAGAAACAAGTCACGATGCGAAGCAACCCAACGTTGCAACCATGTGCCAAGCTGAGCTTTCCAATTCGGTACATGTAGAGGTGGGAGAAGTAGTTGTGTCAAAGTGCTTGGTAACTGAAGTTGCCGTTTGTGCATAACCTGGGCGAGGAGCTTCTGTGCCTTAGAACGAAAAGGCTCGTTGACGAAGACGGAGAGTCGTAGGAAGTAGTAGAGCTGAGTAGGTGGAAAAGCCGCCGACAGCAAGTCGCGCATAGCCTGGAACGACGCACCTGTGTTGGATCCCAGCTGATAAAGCGTGGAGTAATGTGCTTGAATGTCATCCAACATTTCAGGTCGTAATTGCCGTTGAAGATCCGGATGTAGTCGTCGTCGGAAGCGTTTGTGTAGCGAGAGTGAGGTGGGAGATGACAACGAATGATGCCGAAAGTTAACCAGATGTTCACGGAAGCCAATTTTCCGAAGGAGTCTATGTACCCAGGGAGCATTCAAATGCGGACGTAGCAAGTATTGCCACTTGCTTTCCTGGACCCAAACCGAGGAAATGGGAAGTTTGATCTCAACCGGAATGGCACAGAAAAGCCAGTAAGTGTTGGATCGCTTCCAGTAATGAAGTGCAGGTTCGAAGAAGGCATGGCGTCCCCGAAGTAGTTGCAGAAATTTGCGACTGCGCGAGTGTTCTCGTCAAAGAACATCCTGATCAGTTGCTCCAACGTAGTATGGACTGTGCCATGGAGAAAGTCTGATGTAGACGCATGGCTGTTGATGGTGACCTGGGTCCTGAATGAAGTCATAGAGGTCCGGAAAACGTGTCCGTAGTGATCGAAGGTGTCTTGTATCCGCAAAAGTGGAGTGCATGATTTCACACAACAGAGACGTCTTGTAGAAGTGAAGAACCTCGAAGAACGGCGGGACATACCCATAGTCTTGAGAAACGAGACGCTGCAAAAAACTGATCAATACATAGGCAGTGCACCGGCACCTGTGAAGTTCATACCTGTTGGCCACAGTGTGGTAAGACTGCGACATGGAGTGAATCGGGATCTGAAGTGCGATCCGAACCACAACTAGCACTTCCAGGATAAGGCCCAGCCAAGGTAGTCGCTCAACTGACTCATATTCATCTATTGGTATCGACGGTGGTGGAAGTCCAGGAAAGCAGTATTGCCAGCACGTAGAGAACATTGTCAACGAGTGCAGAAAAGTATCTAAGGAATGCCATTGCGCAACATCATCATAGATTCCACAGCGGCGAAGCTCAGCCAACATGGTGAACATGCAACCAATGAAATCCTACAATGCGGCGGCGACAGGAATGCAAGCGGCAATGAGCACCAAGCAATTCACAACGCAAGCAAAGACAAGCACATCGTCAAACAAGTGCAGAGCAAGAAGAGGACGGACAAGTTTTGAACCGTTCATCAATCATGACACAACTGCCACTCCGGGCTCATAAGTGAACGAAGGTAACTGCTCACCCTGTGAGTAAGCGGGCGGTCACGATGAGGTGACACAACGCCTTGTCAGTGAGCTTGGTGAGGTAGCCAGGCTCCAGTCCCCACAGAGCCGCCATCGCCCCAAACGTAGGTGCGTCTGCTTTTGGGATGCGTCGACGCGCCTGAAAGAGCTGGGTCGACATGGATTCCAAGGACTTGTTGCCGTTGAGACGGGATGGGTGATTGGCCCACTTGATCAATGACGCCAAAGTAGTGGTAGTGGGCGATTGCTTGAGATACAAGCGTGGTTGATCACTAGTCCATGTGTAGTACTTGATGACGGCTTCTGGCGCGCTGTGCATGGTGAGCAATTGTGACGCCGCCGGCTTGGAAGGCGGTGAAGAAAGTCCGCGAAGAGACTGGATGATTCGGGGTTGCACTGCGCCGTCAAACGACTTGCCATCAAGGGCCGCTGCACTGACCGTAGGTAGGGAGCTGGTCGGTGACGAAGATTGTGTGTGATTGGCCGGTGGTGGTGTAACCAACTCTGCATCATCCTTCTGGGTTGGCACCGTAGGGGAAGTCGAAGCGCGTAGCGATGCCGAATACTGAGCCTGGAGCAACTCATGAGCTCGATTTAGATCATTGAACTTCTTGACCATGTCTTCCGCTTGGGTAGAGGGCGTGAGAGTCGCGTGGTGCTGCTGAAGAAACTGAAGCACCAAGTTGGCCAAACGGTCATGAACCTTGATACGCTAGTTGAAGTCGTCAAGGTTGAGCCCCAGTGAGCTGGCAAGGTCCTTTTCCAAAGTAAGCAGGTTGATCGACTGTGATCGTCGTAGTAGTTTGGAACAGGTACTCCAAAGCAGGGCCTCGGTGCGAGTGCGAAAGCCTTCCCACGTCACGAATCTGCCGTGAGCAAATGGTCGGAGTAGCCAGTTGGTGATGCCCCCGTGAATGACCTGAACCAGGCGAACGTCTCGGATGTCCATGCCGGACATGTCACGTAGGTTGTTGTGTGGGGTGTTGGCAACCGTCATGGGCAGGCTGAAGGAGTAGAGCTGGTTGATGTCTAGCACGCCGTCTCCAGGTGTCCAGTCACCCGGTGGAGTAAGCCATGGTTTCTGAGGTCGGACTGGTAGCGCAGCTAGGTGCCCAGGCGATGGTGAAGCTTGGGAAGAAGTAACCAGGAACTTCGCTGGCGTGGGCTCTGGAGGAACCGGCATCATGTAGTTGACCGGTGAATGATGAAATTGCTGCGTAGGGTTTGGATTCGATTGATAATTGCCTGGCATCACTGGAAAATTGTTGTTGGAGTTGTAGCCCGAATTGTGTTGCCAGGATACAAAGTTGTTCCAATCCATGCCCTCCGAGACCTGATTGTCATTGTGTTCACGTCGGCGTGCTTTGCAAGATTGAGGGGACGGACTCCGATCCCGTCTGCGCCGAGTTCTGGATCTGTCACGATCATCCCGTCGAGACATGGTGGCACAACAAACTCAAAACCGCGACACCTCAATCTTGAGAGAATCGAATCCGACAAGACGCAAGTCAACGCAAGTTCAAGCCAAGCACAGATCAACACGCGGTCATGCGGCCAACAGCAGCAATTGTGAGACTTAGCTATGATCTGACGGCTGTCTTCCCTTTAGTGAAACCTCGTTCCTGATTAAATCTGACATTCCGCCGTTCTATGATAAGCACGTTGAGGTCAAATTTTCCGACAGAGTCGGCCCGGGGTCACACGATGGGTACACCCGAGGATTCCCCACGAATGGGGTGTACACACTTAAACTCCAGATGGAGGGTGCTAATCTTTCGAGTACAACTGGTAAGTCTCGGCTTGGATAAGGTTCTTCATGAATAAGTTTCGGCTCGCTATGCACTCGGCTTCCCTCTAGTGTCGAAAGCGTTACCCGAAAGAACAAGAAGCACAAACAGCGCCGCAACCAAGGGGGCCAAAAAGACATTCAGCAACATCACTTTACACATGCAGGTGCGCTGGGATGATCAGTCCCAGTATCACCACCGATGGCAAGTGTCTTCGTTGGCAGGAGACTTGCCATGGTGCTCCTGCCCCCTGCTTTTAATTGTGGTGACAGGGTAATCTGCCACTCCGCACACACACACACACACACACACGACACACCCAGACTCGTCTTTGACGGCGCGCAACATGGGCGTCCAGACTCATCAGCTGCTGGCAGCTGCAGCCGGCACTCAAGCCCAGGGCCTGCCATGGCCACCGCTGCAAAAATGGAATCCCAATCCGAGGCCAAAGCTCAGATGGCCAGAGCAAGAGCAATGGAAGCCTACCTTAAACCGAGCCCCAGCAGATTTGGGATATGGGCATGGGTCAAAATTAAGCCACCAGGAAGTGGACCGCAGGAATTTTAGTCTTTGGTTCCATTTACCAGGGCAAGCCATTTTGGGGATCCCTATTTTTGACCCACAGCCACATGGCCATGGTTCAAAAGCCCATGCAAATCCCCCAGTGGTTACGGGACCCAGTCAAATGGGAAGCCTAAAATGGGTGGTGAATTCACCTTTTCTAAAAAATGGGACCCCAAAACGGTTCTGACCCACAGCCACATGCTCAACTGCTACAGGTGCAGAAGGCAACTGCCACGGACGGCAACAAACTGCTTCACCCTGCTCACAAACCCGGCATCGCACCTCACGGGCCTGGGAGAGCGACATGGCCCGCTCACCCGCAAGTTGCCAATGGCCAGCTGGCTGCGCTCCAACCTTTTTGTTTCATGGTGGCTGTCTATTCCCATGTCTCAAATACAGCGCATCATGCCGCTCAAATCGCTCGAGCGCGCGAGTTGCCAATGCTCTGTCGATCAACAAGCTCGATGAGCTATGTTGTAAGGCCCTTCCTCTGGCCACGAGCAGAACGCATTTGACATCCGCGCGGCTTGGCCCACGACGAAAACGAGCAGGAACGTTGTGAGCGCGCGATTTGCCGAAACACTTGCAGGTCTGTCGCACACTCACATTTTCTGGCTCGGATCTGGAGCGGATTGGAAATGGCTCGACCAGTACAAAAATGTGCACGAGGCTCGTGTCTGGCCGAGGTTTTACCTCTTGGTTGCAGCAAATTATGGGGTCGTTGTGAGTTGCGAGCAGCTGGAATCATAAGGTCGAACGAAAGCAGGCATTTCAGCTTGAGAGAGCATGTGAGGCTCATTCCAATTTCTGGGCAACGATCCCAATTGGCTTCACAACACCTGCACCCAAAGTGGCATGCAAAAACGTCTACACAAAGGCATGCCAGGCCAAATCTGCAGTGTTGCTTGATTGTCATGGCTTTTGCCAATCGCGCGCTGCCAACTCAGGCGAAATTTGCCTTCAGTAGTCTGCTTCGGGCCTGTGAGGCTTCGAGCAACACGAGAACCAAGAGCTCTTGGAGTGCCTCAGAAGCTCATCCTGAAGCTTCAGGTGCCGCCCGGTCGCCACGAAATCCTGCATGTACTCCTCAGGGATCCTTACAATAGATCCACCTGAACCATTGCAACTTGTAAATGGCGTTGTTTCCAACTTTATTTTGGTGTTGATTAGGCAACATATTTCAAATGGCTGCAAAAGGTGGTTTCCAACTTTATTTTGGTGTTGAAAAAGTCACATGATTCAAATGGTGGCAAAATGGAGATTTTAAGGAGCCCTGCCCAAATAAGGCCTTAAGGCTCAAGCCCAGAATAGGGCCTTCTTTGGGCTCCCTCCCCTGCCCCCCAGGTCCCCAGACTCCAAAAATCCAACTTCCCGCCTTGATGATGGACACCAACTTCCCTGCGGAGTCCTCCTTGCTGATGGCCTCCGCCACCTCCCTGGCCCGGGCCTTGATGCTGGCCGACCCCAGGCACTTGGTGATGGCGGCGGCCAGATCCGCCGGCTTCACCTGGCCATGGGGCAAAATCCACATCCTACCAGTGGTTGCGGGACCGGAATTTTAGGAATGTTTGGTTCCATTTGCCAGGGCAAGCCACCGCCAGTTTTTGAGGTTGCCCTGTTCTTGACCCACAGCCACATGGCCATGGGTCGAAAGCCCATGGAAAGCCGAAAGCCCCCAGTGAAAAACAATGGGATCCCCTTGGTTTTCACCCAGAGCCGCCTTCCGCATGTTCTGCATCCCAACGCCGATGCCCCGCGCATTCACCGCGGCGGAGTTGTCGAACTGGTCGAACCAAATCGGGCAGATGATGGTTGGAGTACCACTCCTGACCGAGGCGTTGCTGGTGCCTGACCCACCGTGATGCACAATCACCGAGCACCGCGGGAAGAGGGTCCCGTGCGGCGCCGTCTTCATGAACAGCACCTGACAGGTGCTCGGGGGAAAAACAAAAATGGGCTCCGGCATCGGCTTCCTTGGCCACCCGAGTTTTTTTTGTTTTTAGTTGTCTTTTCTTTTTTCCTTTTTCTTTTCGAAATCCCGACAAAATACGGCTTTCCTCTTGGAAACAGGGCTGCCAAAAGGGGGGCTTCCCAGGGCAAACCTCTCTCCCCTGGCCTTCTCCTTGGCGTAGGCGATGAGCTCCGCGGAGTCCGGCTCGCCCTCGAGCAGCTCCATGGACATGTTGGACCAAGAGGAGGCCACGACGCCCCGCTGGCCCGACATCATCAAGCCCCGGAGACACAGCAGCGTCATGAACTTGGAGCCTCCATGCGAGAGATGCGAGAGATGCGAGAGATGCGAGATGCGCTCAGCGCGGCTTTTTTTTTGCGGTGCGGTTTTTGCGAGGGTTTCGCGCGCGGTGCGGTTTCGAGCGGTTATTTGTTTAGTTGTCTGTTTTTCTTGTTTTTTCTCTTCTTCTTTTTGCGAGGGAGCGTGTTCGGATGGCTTGGTGGTGTTTGAAGGTATTCGTGTGGCGGTCTTCCTTCTTTTTGACTCGGGTTCTGGGGTCTTTCTGGTTTTCAAAGGGAAACCAACGGGAAAACCATCCCATGTTTCTAAGGGGGGTCCCCTGAAAAAGCCCATATATGCACCGTTCATTGTAGTTCCTTGGTCCCTCGTCCATCTTTGTCGGGAAGATTGCGGGAAAAGCAACACCTGCAAGCGCGGCGTCCATTCAGGGGGCAGTTGCCAAAAGTCTGGCGCTGAAGGGGAAAAGATGAGGGAACTCGAGAAAGAAAAGGAAACAAACAAGCAAAAAGAAGAAAAAAGGGGGGAACAAAAGGAAAGAAAAACGCCGAGACGCTCTTGCAGATGATGGAGCCGAAGCCGCAGTAAACTGGAGAAGGCCCTGCTTCCAGGAACCGATCCAGCTCCGAAGACTGGGCCGCGCCGAATTCTGTGCCCTCCTGCTCCTCGCGCCAAAAAAATCCCCACGCGAGCTCGGAATGAGCTCTGCAAAACGAGCTCGTCCCAACAGAAAACTCCCCGAAAGTGGGGATTCCAACATACGTGGCAACCGAAGTAACTAAAGGCTCCCACACCTGGGTGTGGACCCTTGCTGCCCGAAGACAGGTACCTGGCCCCAAAAAGACACAAGTCGTGGATCCAAGATGTGCCGAGCATCTTTCGGCGGCATCATCAAAGCCCCGATCTGCACGATGTTCGAGCTGAAGTCCGCTGGAAGGTCGCCCATCAGCGCGTTGCTTTCGGCCACCAGACTCAGGAAGGCTGGGGCGTTCATGATGTAGTCACCTCGGCGAGTCAATCCACCTACCCAGCAAATTCTAAGGGCAAAGAGGTCTCAAATGGCAAATAAAAGGCAGAGATGTAAATGTCGACCCAGCCACAATACTCTCTATAGGTCGGGTAGTAGGGTTTGCTGGAAAACCCCAAGATCCGGTCCAGGATGGGAATGTCCAGCTGTCGGGACGCACGCACGCTAAGGCGCAGGAGCAGCTTCCAGCATGCCATTTTCCTTGCATCGCTGAGACATAAATGTGAAACTTTTGAAGGGATACTGTGGATGGTTGCGAAATCCAATTCGCACCACCTAAGAAACCCTGGAATGAATCGATTCCCCCAAAGAACTAACAAACTTTGTGGTTTCAACCATAGTTTCGAAGTGGTGCAGGATTTCCTCCATCCAGAGTACACAGGAACCGGTCCCAGTAGAAAAATGGTCCAAACAAGGATGGGAGGGTAATGGCTGACAATTGCCTGCCAAGTTTCATTCCCCCCGGCATGGAATCGGACACGCCCACAGGCGTGACGTAGCGGCTTGGTCTCCAGCGGTGGAGGCAGAACACGATGACCTCATCTTCTCACACCACTTGTCACCACGGGCAAGCGGCGAGGAGAGTATTTTTGTGGGTGTCCTTGTTTTTGGGGCTGACTGGAAACCAACGGGAGAACACCAATTCTCAAGGCTTTTTCAGTTGAGTCATAATCAAAACCCAGTATTAAAATGGTCGACCCAGAACCATGTTCAAAGTTATGAAGGCGGCCCAGCTGTTTATGGTTGGGATTGTCCCGTGCCAACCTTCACTTACCCAAGTTTTGATTGTGACTCAGTTGGAGAGCCCGTTTGGTGCCGTCCAGGCGCTGGAATGCGCCTCATCTTGCACAGAGCCAAAGTGTCCGGTATGCACAAGGGACCGCACAAGACCTGTCAGCCACGCAAAACTCCCAGAAGCTCTATGCCAGTGCAACATGGGTGACTGGTATTGGGGAACTCCCTTTTGCTTGGTCTTGAATGGAAACTGAAAGGAAACCAACCATTTTTCTAGGTGTACCCACCCCATTCTTTCCAGGCATCCTTCTTCTTTAGAAAACCTCCGGAAACCCGGGGAACACGGCAGGTAATTGAAAAGAATGATGGTTGAAAAGAATGGTTGGAATCAGGGGGTAGGCAACACACGCACGTGATCCAATTGCACAATACAAAAAATGGAGTGCCACCCAAGGCTGGCGGCCAGGTCTGGCTTGAAAGACGTGAGCAGCTCGTACATTGCCTTGAGTTCCTCTTCCTTGTGCTCCGCCACGCGCTTTTCCTTGATGGTTGCGACTGTCATGATGTCGTCTTTTTCCTCAGACGCCCAGCGGCCATGGCGGGAAAAAAAGGCGCCCGTTTTGTGGCTGGTTGAGTTGAAAGGAATAACGGAGCCCTTGCCCAAAAAAAAAGCCGGGAGAAAGGAAAAAAAAGGGAGAGAGGAGAAAAAAAAGGCAAAACAAACCTCAGTGTTTTTTCTTGTTGGTTGAGTTGAAAGGAATCGGAGCCCTTGCCCGACAAAGGAGGCAAAACCCACTGGACAGCAGAGCTTCCATGGCCTCCTCAACACCGGGCTGCTGCATTATCCGCTGGAAGCTGAGGCGGGTGCGCTGGAACTTCACCTGGCTGTGGATGTCAAAAATAGGAATCCCCAAAATGGCTTGCCCTTGTAAATAGAAACAAGGACCTGGGACCAGGGACTACCTACCAAAAAATGGAACCACAATGGAAACCACCCACAATGGAAACCTGTCCAATTCCTGGTGGTGAAAACTTTTGACGTAGCCATACCCACCTCGCAATGCTCCGCCAAGGCCTTGGCGTCACCAGGGCCTGCGAGCATCACCTCGAAGCCCCCCTGCTCCAAAATCTTCCCTGCGGTCGTGTGGGCGTGTCGTTTTCAGGGTGCCTGTTGTGTGTTTGTGTGTTTGTGTGCCACCTCGTTTTCAGGGTACCTGTTCTCAGGTCGTTTTAACACGAAGATGAAAGGGGACCATCCATTTTGGGTACCCTTGTCGTGTTTCAAGGAAGCAAAAGAAAGCCAGCCTGCCAGCACGTAGGGCTGCACATCACCACGAGTACCATTGAAGGCGATGAGGACTTTCTTTGCCATCGCGGGAAGCAGAGAAAAAAAGAACAGCCGACCAACTCTTGAGGCAAAACCACGCATTCACGAGGCAAGCCGCATGGCCTAAATGCCACCTGAAAATAGCAACGATGACCTTTTGCACTTCACATTGCCCCTGCCCCCCGCTCAGCCGGACTTTATTGGTATGGTCACACTGTTCCCATTGAAACCAACCTAGCGAAAAGGCTTGATGTTGCTCTGCATCATGGCAAGGCACCCCGGCAACACACTCATTTTCTGTTTCAGCCATGGCTTTGTTCCGATGCAGCGGGAGAACCAAATGACAAGGTCGTGAAGATATGACGCCATTATCATCTTGCAAAGCTGAGCTGCCCAGACTCAAGGTTGCAACCTCGGATAGGAATCAGCCTGGCGGTTCTCCCAACCTGAAGCTATGTTACATCACCACAAACAGCAAAAATTGCATCGCTTGCTTAAACTCGCAGGTCATGTCTGCCTCTACTGGCCTTCAGCCGCGCTCCCTGCGTAAAAGAGCATTACTGTAGGCGAACCCTCTCGGCAGTGGCAAAACCTGCACTGGCGGCGAGTGCAGGACCCGCTTTTGTGGTGCCGGCACGGTGCCTGCTGGCACGAGAAGCACCAACGCGTCGGCTGCCATATCACAGGAACCAGCCGACACAGCAGAACGTGGCTGGCAAAACCCGCCGCTGCCTCAGTTTCACACAAGAAGGTGCCCCCTTCGTGCCTAAAGATTCTGCTCAGGAGGCGGATCAGCAGAGTTGTTGCACCCTCGTCTGAATTGTGTTCTTTGAGTTCCAAACTCACAAGCAGCGTTGCTTGACGACTCTGGGCCGGATTGGTCACAGCTTCTCCGCTCTCGGCATCATCTCATAAAATGTGTTTTTAACACTTCGGGATTGCTTGAGTAGCAGTGCTCCTACAGCAATGCTTCTGCAGAAGCTGATCCGGACGTCTCCAAGACTGTGGAGCCGCTCAGCTAAGCTCTGATTGCACGGCCCATAATATTAGCTATGTCACAATGTGTAGGGGCGGTAAGGGAGACATGCCGAGTGCAGCTGCCAAAAACCCGCTTCCGTGTTTTTTCCAGCTTAGGCCACACTTGAGATAAGCATCTAACATCTGCACTTTCGAACTTGTTGTATGACAGTGTCATGGGTGAGCTCGGTTCACTCCAACTAAGCTCGACTACACTTCTGCAAATGAGCGTTTCACGCATGTCCGGTCAGTTCCCTCTACCACCTTCGGTCTGCAACGCACAGTCCAGCCCCACAAAATGCCGAAGCATTGTCAACCAGTTGGCCAGTTGGAGCGGAAATCATTGTTTCAAACAAACAAAGGTCGAGCACCAGAGCAACCAAGATGGAAACATACTATTACGTACATATTCTTGCTCGTGGCGGTTTGCTACATCGGTTTCGCTACATTGCATTCATGTCGAAAACGAACATTACCGGAAGCCTGCGAATCTTGAAATCAAGCCAACAAAAAAACTTCCAAAGCCTTTGGTCTTCGGTCGTCCATCCCCAATTCTGTGACGTCCCTACTTGTCTCATCCAGAGGTTGTTGGGTGCTGGTCAACAGTGCCCTTAAAGGTTGTTGCCACACCCATGCTGAACTAGATCTGACTCAGTGTCTTGCTAATTTTTGTATACGTACACGTGTCCACCCGAAATCGCGCTCCTTTTGGGCTCATCGTAAAGAAAAACCAACATGATTCCAACCGAATGTGCAGTCACGCGGCCTCGGCCGGCTTTGCCAGCTGCCTTGTTTTCTCCTGCTGCTTCACCTCCTGTTCCTTACTTGCCAGCAAGTTCGTGGGCAACAAGCTACACTTCCCACCGGAGGAAAATCCCCAAAAAGCAAGGACAAAACTGAAGCCCATGGGCGACCACGGTTCTGCACACTGCAGCTGCGCCTGCCACTCGCCCCGGTGGAGCCGGCGCTCTTCGTAGCCCTTCCGCTTCTTTTTGCCCACCTGGACAGAATGGCAAAACGACGTTTCGAGTTCCAGCTCCTTTTCGATGGTCATTCGCATGCGACTCCGTCGGGGTTTGGGATTGGTTGCCTTTGAGAAGCCACATGGAAATTACAAGAGAGACTTGTATAAAAATGAATTAATCATGTATGTATATCTAATAACCAGGTCAGCCATACAATGGCGCCATGTGTTTTGCCAAATCGCTTGGGCAAACTTAGCTTGTTTCCAGAGTGCCATGAGGCCGCGCAGCAAGCCGTTCTATGGGGTGGCAAGTCATGACTGGGGGCTACAAGCGGAAATGTTCTCCGAGCAACAAAGCTGTGCACCTTTCAAGAGATGGGCTGTGGTGGAAATATATCTCGTAATACAGAGGTGGCATTCGCCAGGGTATAACAGAAAGTGGTGACCTCAAACAAACAGATGCTGCTGATCTGAAGGAACTCAAAGAATCATTGTGACTCATGAAACTGGAGATCATCCCTTCGGGGAAACCACGCGCTGTGACTTTATGTCTACGTTGGCATGCTCAAACAATGGAACTCTTTCAAACAAAGCAGAACATCCAATTGACGCACCAAGTAAGAAAGCATAAGAAATGGCTTGAGCGCAGACTGCCAAAAGACAACAACCCTGACAATGTACGTACGTGACCCGTACAAATGCACATGAAAATACAATTGCAGGAGCAACCGCCGCTGAGTAGCGGGAACCTTGCTGTTTCCCTGGCAACAAGGAAGGCTTGCGTGATTGCTGGGAATTTGCTTGTAAAGACAGAAAAAGCGCGAACCTTGCAACATCAAGTGGGTGCGGATTCATTTCCGGATTGCTTTGGCGCTTCATTTCGTGATTTAAAAAAAGGAGAGAAAAAAAGGGGGAAAAAAAGAAGAAGAAAACGATCCAGGGCCTTCGAACACCCTCATGGGTCTTTGGTCGTTCATCCCATCCAACAATACATGTGCAGGCAGGTAGCCTCAGCCAGCTTTGATTGCTGGATTGACTTCTCCGTATCCTCTTGCTCCTCCTTCTCCTGCTTCTCCTCCATCTCCTTCACCTCCTTCACCTCCTCTTCCTGACTTGCGCACTGGCCGCTTGAGAAAAAGGGCACCCGGTCCTTGTTGGCGATTACCTTAAAGGCGAAATCCAACCCGAAAGGAAAAAAGGGCGGCCCTCCTCCTGGAAGATGTCCCCACCGAACTCGGCGAGGGTGATGTCCGCCCAACTCGGGGCGGGCGTGTTCGCCCGGCTTGCAAGCGCCATGCTTTCCAAGGCAGCCAAAGTCTGGACCACCCTGGCGGCAACTTGAGCCTGAATCCCGGCCATCGCGATTCTTCGGAGAGAAAAGCCAGCTCGGGAAACCAGACAGTCATGCCTCAGAGCAATGCAGCAAGAAGCTATCTGTTTGGCCTACGCCAAACTATAACCGGGACCCTGCAACAGTAGACGTTGGGTGTGTGGCTTCACTCACGCTCATGATATGATAAGATGTTCTCACGTGTCTTTTGGCAACTTCCGCGCATCCGCCTGCGCGGATCCTGGCACACATTTCACCGATCCGTCGCTGAGCAAACACAGTCTGCTCATTCCACATCTTGCGACTCTCGATGCCAGTCCTAGTCATCCGTGAGCGAGAGGTCCGGCGCAGGCATGGCCTGCGTTGGCTATTTGAGCTGACTTCCAGCCATGCACTTGGGTCTTGAGTCGTCCAGCTCTCCAATCAGTAAGCAATGTAAAATACGGCAAGGCAATGCGATGCAGTGCCCACAAAGGTGGGCAATCAAATAAACACAGCTAGCAGTGATTCTATGCAAAGAGTTAATGTGCGTCTAGGCGCGAATTGATGAATGTACCAATAGAATTCCAAGTAACAGCTATCCATTTAGTGCCAAGATCGAATCCTTGGTTCATGTGTTGCTTCAGGCTTCCCATTCAAACAGCCCTTTTGCTTCCCAAGTGAACACGCCGCAGCCGACAATACTTGCTGGTGCTCAGCAGGAAATGAGGAAATTACCCCCTACAAACCATCTCCTATGGTTGTCCTTTAAGAGAATCCCCAGGTTCATTCCATTTCTCATGCCCTGCTTATCGCACCAGCAAGACTACTCCCATGCAGGGTTCCACTTTTTGACTAACCAAAGATAGGCTTAATTAAACCCAGACGTTCCCCTTTTAGAGGTAGATAGGTAATGACTTACCCACCCCTGGGTTTGCGTCTACCCTGAGGTCAAAAAGTAGAACCCTCCCATGTGCCTTGGCCAGTTTCGGCCTGGAGCCAGGCAGCTCGGCGGGCCTGACCAGCGAAATCCCGAAATCCGATCGGTGGGCATTACTTTGGGGACCCGAAACTGGCTGGACAGAAGTCGGGGATTCATGTCCACCAATCACTTTTCGAACAACTCTTAAGATTCACAGTTTGAATGTGTCCTAGAATTCACTACTCTGGGGGCCATGATATGTGCCATACAGGAAAGTAGCCTTCACACTGGATTGGGTCTGATTGAGCGCTGTCATCTGAGCTATGTGTTTCTTGCGCCGGGCATTTTTGCGGCGTGCATCCCCTTTGGAATTGGGCTGCGTGAGTTTTGTTCCAGAAAGTGCGCGAAGCCTGCGCAAAGGCTTTTGACGCTTGCACGGAAGGAGGTTTACCCGTTTACCAAAGACGGAGAGCTGCTGAAGACGAGCAATTGTTCAGTTCGAAGGTGTTGGGGGCTCCGCTTGGAAGTCACAACCTTTCAATACAGAAAATAGCAATTGGATCGTTGCACAAGTGGTCTGCAGCGGTTCAACAAGCCATACACGCCATCACACCGTGCGGCACCTTTGAAGAACAAAAGAGGCACATGTCCGGCCATTTCGCTCGTGGAAGATGGGTTGTTCCTGTCGTTTGGCGTGCGTACGATTTTAGCCTGTGACAAGCAGGCCTTCTTGAACGCACTCGCTCGAGTCTGCCACATGGCCAGGAGAAAACCAACTCAAATGAGGCTGAAACGAGCCCCGCTTTTTTAGAAAACTTGAATGATGCCAACGTTTTCTCAACACTACTGCTTTCGCCCAACGGCGACTCGTGGCGACTCGTGCGGTGTGACCTAGTAGTAGCAGTAGCAGTAGCGGTACAAGTAGTAGCAGCAGCAGCAGCAGCAAAACTATGGCTTTGGAGGCAGGCAGACAAACCTTCGAGGCTGAGGCTACACGGAACTCACGTCTGGCCAGCCCTGACCTTAAAAAAATGTCAGCCCCTCAAAGAGTCCGGCGCCAAGTCCTCATTGCCAGGCATCTCATGCGAGCCAAGCTGTGCTTACTGATCACGCGGCAAAGGCGAGGGTGCAACATGCTTCAAAACAAGCGGCCCAAGGGTCTTGGACAGTCAACTGGATTATCGAAATGCAGCAAAAGGCTCCGCAAAGGCTATGCGCGTTAAGGACTCTCCTACGCCTTCAAGCCTTCAAACTCGGAAATGTTCAACCTAAAATTGAACAAGTGGCAAAGAAAGATAAAAATGGAACTCAAATCTGTTGGATCTACCTATTTCAAGGCAAATTCTGCGACTGGTTAGTGATTGGGTGCTACCAAAACTCGGAGCTCATTCTGCGTCGCTCACTGACTCTCCAATTCAGAAGGATTGTGCTATCTGGCACTTGCAGCGACTGCTTGCGAGGACTCTATCGAGCCGCCAAATGGTGGGGTCCTTTTTTTGAGGATACACTTCCTGGTGCAATTTGTAAAGCAAAACCAAAAGGAAAAAAACCGTTCTTCCTTCTTTATTTTACTTGTGGAGGTGGTTCCCCAAAGAACGGGTTCGACACATCCAACATTGGGCGGCCAGCCCCCTGACGCCTCTTAGAAGACCGCCAGGGCGCAGTGTCCCAAGCCCGCTCCCGAGCTCGGCCTGGCCGAAGGCCGGGAGTGGCTGCTTGGACGCATTGAATCAGCTTCCCGCCAATTGGGTCGAAAATGGGTATCCATTTTGGAACCCTAGTAAATGGAACCAAGGACTAAAACCTGCGGCCTGGTGCTTTAATTTTGACCGATACCCAATTGGTGACTTGAAGTTGGAGGCAAAACAAACGGGATGAAAAACGCCGGGACTTCAAATCCAAATCCAAACCACCAATCCAACGCACCGAGTAAGGGTTACCTCACTGATCTTCCTCCCTGCTGGGGCAAACGAGAGAAACCTAACATCTGAGCCAACCTGCCGCAATCTGCTGCAGCATCTGCTGCTTGTCCGCCTCCTGCCGCATGTTGACCTGCACCTGGAGCTGGGTGAAAGACGCTGTTAGACTGGCTCTGAGTTTGCCCCGCATAGGTTTCTGTATTGATACTGATAATATGGCGAATGTGACGTATAAACTGCCACCTCCATGTTTGACTCAAGCGCAAAAACGTCAGTTTCGTCAATGCTCAACATACGGTGTGATACTGCAGAAGCACGCCTTCTGATCCCCTCCCTTGACCAAGTGGCACCGACATTGCTGGAGGCATGACGCCAGCGCCGCAATTGGGATGCCCCATGCTGCCGCAGCGCATGCAGCGCACCTTACAAGAGGTAAAGAGGAAACAGAACAAAATAACGCCATATCCAAGGTGCCACCTCACACGGAAAAAACTGTGTTTCTTTCCTCGGCGGCTGTGTTTGGAGGATCGGTACCTTTTTTGGGATTGCGTTGCAAGGGAAACCAAAGAGAAGCCACTTATTTTGAGGGCTCCCTCGCACATGACACACCCAATCGCTTGAAATAGAAACCTTCAGAGTCCCTTCACCTGAGCCTCAGAGTTCAAAGCCAGAAACACAATCGGAGTGGGCACATCCCTGGCACGGCATTGCTTCGCTGTGCGACACCTTTCAGATTTGCCGTCAACGCCGTGCCCTGAAAACATCCCTGGGTGTCTCCAAATTTAGTGGTTCTCCCAAAAACGACTAGCTTCCCATGTAACAAAAAAGAAATTGTCCAAGTGGGGTACTGGAGTCCCATTGAAAAAACCGACTCCAAAAAATAAAACACTGGTTTCCCCTTCAAAAGAAAACAACACCAAAACTGGGGGGGGGAGGTTCACTGCCATCCGTCGCTCACATCCGAGGCGCATGGGAGAAGTCCGCCAAGCGCTGCGCCGCCAGGCTCGGGCACTCCACTGGAGCGTGGCCCCGCAGCTGGCCTGGCGCCCAGATGGGCCCGGATGGACGCAGCGCCAAAAGGAAAACCAATCCACGGGACGAAAAACCAGATTCACACCCATGTTGCTTATGTTTTCTGAGAAAGATCTAGACTGAAGAAGCCCTTTAGCGACACTTTTGCGCCATGTGGTGCGTTGGTGAGCTTCTCTTGAACACATAGCTGATTGTCCTTACTTGAGTGTGTCTTCTCGTGACAAGTACCCCTTGGTTTATGGTGTAAGGGGAAACCGAAAGGAACACCGAATCCAATTTGGAGGGTCCCACCAAAAAAGGGAAACGAAGAACACCACAGAACCAGGAAATTCATGGATGCGAGTTTGACTGCAGGATGTCAGGGTGGGCAATGGGGCAATTCATACTTTCTGGATCTGCGAGTGTCACGTGCTCTGGTGGGAAGCAATGGGAGCGCAGGTTTGCAAGACAAGCTACAGATTAGAGAAGACTGTTTGAAAGTATGAGCGATATTTGGCTGTGGGTCAAAAAAAGATACCCAAAATGGAACCCTGGAAAATGGAAACATGGACTATGGCTCTTTGAGCCTTGAAACCAACGCGACACTGGCCAATTGCGCCAGCCCCACAGTGGCTGCATCTCAAAGCCCTCTGCGGACCTACCATTGGCCCATGCGCGGCTTCCCGGGGCTGGGAGCATTGATTGCACACTTCACCAGGATCACCCCAATATGGAGCTTGCACTTGCTTCGGCAACTGCCGATGCCATACATCTTCCTCTGCAGAACGCGCTGTGTGTCCGGCACTCACGGCTCTCGTGGCCCTTCTTGGAGCAGAAGAAGCCTTGGTGTTTGTCATGTCTGAGTGGAAAGCGATGTGTCATGTCAGTCCCCCGGTCGTGGCTGGGATGTCTCCTCAGGGATCTTCTGAGAGTAGTCAATATAACATCAACTTCAGCCGGTGCCCGGACAAATGCCTGCTGCAACAGCTTCGAACTTGAAAAATGAGCCAGAACAACATGGTTTCACAATGAATTCTAATTGTAGAGTCACTATGCTCGCCGAGGCACAGCCCTTGTCCGGGCATGCAGTGGCATCGTGGCCAACCTCTGCGCAAGCCCAGCAGGCCTCGCCAGGGCGCGAAAGAGGCTCAGCTTCAGCCGGGGACCCCGCAGACCTTTTCTAGATCAACCGATGTCCGGGTCACTTTTGTGCGCCTGTTCCTTGAGGGTTCGACCCTGCGTTGGCCTGGACATCGTAGAGACCACCAGGGAATCAAATCACGGCATCCAGGCCAGAGAGCTGTTTCCGAAACTTTGATTGCTTTGCAAACTGCACAGCTTTGCTTCCAGAAGTACATGGTCTGAAGTGTACTGAGCTTGTTTGGTGACCGGAGCGTTCCAGATAGCAGCAACTGCGACTGGCATTCACAACGGCTGCCACGTGCAACAGTCGCTCCCTATGTAGAAACCACAACAAGTCCAAGTGGGTGTCTGTGAACATAGGGGAACTCCGAAATGGGAAACATTCCTTTTGGCCTCCCTTTAAATCCACCGCTTTGGAGGAGTCCGCCATTTTGAGCATGGTCCGATCTCATATCGCCAGCCAGCTCCAATGTGGTCACGAGCTCAGCAGCGTCCCGTTCCCCGCCTGCTGCTTCTCCTGCCCAAAGTAGCGGCCGCCGCCCGTGAGGCCCTTGCGGTCCTGCAGACCCCAGTTTTTCCCCCGGCTGTCCTCAGATCCCCGCGAGAAGCTGAACACTCTTCGTGTGGTAAACGGACATCCCCACTAATCAACAAGAAGCTAAGAGGCTAAGGAACCGGATGGCTGGGAGCCACGCCTTGCCCCCGGTTGCCCGAGCCCGCCAGCCGCCTTGGGTGTGAGAGCACCCACGTGTTGCTGCACATAGCGACTAAACAATGGGTACAGCTCTGCCAGCTCATCGTCAGAGTCGGACTCCTGCAACCGGACCGCGCGAGCGCGAGCCCTGGGCTCCAGAAACCACGAGCAAGAGCAAGAACCAAGTGCCGGCTGCTGACCGAATCGTAAAGAATTGAATTGCTTAGAGCATGCAGAAAGAACAAGCAAAATTATGGTTTCTATGAGGGATGCCTCAGCCTGACATCACCACGAAGACTGCTGTCCATGCTTTGCATGCTGGCAAGCATGGCTAGATAGAGCAGCGAAGAGCCTGCACATCTCATGGAAAGAACATGTTCAGCTCTCCCAAAGTCAGCAAGAAATCAAAGGCTTGCACTGCTCAGCCAATTAGCAGACGGATCTATAGCTTCGGAAAGGCTCTTCTGAAGGAAGCCCTCGAGCTCATGTCCTCCAGGTCGCCCAAATCGATATCCTGAATCGCGGCTCCCTCGATCAGCAAAAAGAAACGTATGTGGGCCGCGATGTCTCAGCATTTCTTGTGTCCCCGACCCAACTCACATGGTTTTTTGGTGAGCAAAGCGCCATGTTCCTTTTTGGCGCAATTGGGCGAACGTCGTTCAATGTCTTCTCCTGAACTAGTAGCAGATTGACACATCGGCCGCAGGCTTTGGAAGGGCCGGGCCCACATGCTGTGGCAGGCCGAGTCTCACAAGTCATTTTCAGCAAATGGGCGTGTCCTTTGCTTGGATGGACCCCCAAAATGGATTCGGTGTTTCGTTTGGTTTCCCGTGAAACCACAAAAAAAGGTGTCTCAAAAAATAGACACACTACCAAATAAGGATAATCAGCTGTGCTGCGAAAACTCAATATTCTGGGTTCAAGAGAAGCCCATCAACGCACCGCATTGCAAAGTGTCGCCGAAACTCAATCCAGCCATCTGTAGCTTTCTAAGTGCCATCCAGCAAAGTCTCACACTAGGAAAACCCTGACTGACTCTAAACCGCGAGACATGTGTTACAAAAACGGTTTCTTCAGTCTAGCTCAAGCAACATGAGTGTGTCTCGCTGCGCCCTTCATTGGTGCGGGCCAAGATATCCCTCGCTGGAGCGTTGTGAGGCGTGCGCCGAGGAAGCTGTCGCTCTTCGCCCAGCTGCGTTCAGTAGTGCTTTGGGGTTTCCAGCAACCAGGCCTGGCTTGGTCCCGAAAAAAACCGGATGGATGTCCTTGAAGCCGCTCCCCGGTTTCTCTGCCCGGGGCCTCCGGGTGCGCGAACGGGCAGGCGGACTCTTCATGGCCCACCAGGCCACACTGCGTGCACAGCGCGGTTGACACCTGGGAGGACTCCAGTGGCTTCCCTTCGTCTCTAAAACGACGCTCCACTGGGCTGGCTTCAGATCCCCAATTTGGGGGGGGTCCAAATCTTAAAGCAGACACACCCAGGACATGGGTCAAAATCCAAAGCCTGGTTAGCCCCCAGTGGTTACATCCGATTCAATCCAACCACTAAAATAGGTTCTGAAATGGGTGGTGAATTCACCTACCCCAAAATGGTACCATTGGTTCTGACCCGCAGCCGGCTGTCTTCAGATCCCCTGCTAAAAGTTTATCTTTTCGTGGATGAAATGGAACCGGGAACCACTGAGTCCAGAAGAGCCGGTGCCACATCTTGACATGCTACGCAGTTCTTGCACAAAGCGTCAAGGGCTCTGATGTCTTGCGCAAGTTGAACCCTGGGTCTGTGGCGACAACAAGTCTAGATGAACATGTCTCCATCAGCGCAAAGCAGCAGGAAGTAGAAAGGGAAGAACCAAAACCAGTCCAATTTGGTGTTTGAAGGCCCTTGCCAGCAGCTTCCACGTGGAGAAACCGAGAGTTTGCCCGTAAGCAAAGAAGAAGAAAATGTCTCCTCGTGTAGCTGTTTGCTGCCTCATGGGATGAGCTAGCTGATTGTTGTCTTTCTAGGTCTCCCCCAATCCCGCATATCTGCGGTGAGGAAAAACAGCGTCACGGCTTCTGCACGTGAGTCATAATCCAAACCCGGTGGTAAAATGGTCGTAATCCCAGAACTAGGTGAAGAATTAAGAAGGCAGATACCCGCAGCTATTTATTATGGCAAGGGGATTATCCCTTACTAACCTAACCATCTACCAAAGGGTTTTGAGCACGTGGCTCACACGTCACACGCAAAGCTCGGGCACTTGGCTCAGCCGCCTCGGCTGCCTCCGCCTCGCCGGCTGCCTCGGCCACCTGCTCGGCTGGGGCCTGCAGCCATGAACAAGCGGAACCTTTGCATTTGGCCATGGGTCAAAATCCAAATCGTACCCCACTGAAACATCCCAATCCCGACTAAAATAGACTAAAATGGGTGGTGCATCTACCCAAAAATGGTACCATTGGTTTGACCCACAGCCATTTCAGGACTAGATTGCAGAGACTTGCGGATCAACCAGGCATCACCGGACGCAGAATTCAGGGACTGGACGAATGAATTGATCCCAGAAAAGCATTGTCAAGGCATCCGGCTCGTTCTTCTTGAGCTGAAGAACCCCTTCCAAAGCTGTCAGGGTACAGCTTCCCGAAACATGACTACCCACCGATCGGAGCACACGGCATGCATCCAGCCTCAACGCTGGCATCGGTATCCCCGATGGCGTCCAAGGTGAACAGAAGCTCCTCTTCCGCAGCCTCCCAGTGTTTTTTTTTTTTGTTTTTCCTATGGGTAACTTCCATTTCTATATTTTCCAGGGATCTCTTTCTAGAAAACCACCAAAAACCCTAATAAAGTGGATCTGGTTTTTGAAAAGAACGATGGCTAAAAAGAATGGGGAATCAAACCCGACTTGCAGGTTTGTTCCCCTGCTCCGATGACATCTCAAATGCACTCTTTGATTGACGCCTGAACTGTTTCTTGTGAAATCCGCTGCTCAAGGATGCTGGTGTCGTCGGTTTTGGCTCATCCGTGTTCTGAGGTATTTCGGCTAGATCGGAACAAATGGACTGTTTGATCTGCGATGTTGTCCGAGTGCGAAAGACGCGCTTATGACAAGCCTGTGTGTCTTTTGGGAATGCAAAGCCCGGTGTGCTCTTGCAGGTTCAGCGCAGAACAGCTTGTTTCCCCAGCGTCCCTAGCTTCGGTGGCTAATTGTTTGTTGGATTCTTTTCTGTTGGTTCTGCTTGTTGCGTGCAGTTTTCATACAGCTTGGCTTTGCTTTGATTGTGGTGCGGCCTGCAATCTGGAGCGCCTAGCAATGCAAGTCAACATTAAGACATCAACGCTCAACGACCACCTTGCTTGCCGGCTCACCGGCAGCTGCCTCAGCAGCCTGCTCGCTTAAGGCCTGCATGGTGCCACATCGAAAGTGATGCAACATGCTGAGCAACACCATGTCCGAGACTGCCATAGCTTCTGGCGGTTTCACGAGCATCCCACAAATATTACACGCATACACGCATACACGCATACACACACACACACACGGACACACACACAGACACACACACACACACACACACACACACACACACACACACACACACACACACACACACACACACACACACACACACACAAACACACTATGCCGCCTCAGCAACTCTGGCATCAGTCTCCCCGGCGGCATCCATCGTGAACGGAACCTCCTCTTCCGGAGCCTGGTACTGCCGGGCTCTGACGCAAGCAAAAGCGGAAGCATCATAAAGCGTAACCCCAGTTTTACCTCAGGCCTAGGATCACTTTCGGATTGAGTTCATGTCATGCAGATTTGATGACAATGGTTCCACAACACAACTCGCAAGTAGCCCGCTTGCTGCGCCGACATCTCAACTGCACTATTTGCACGTGAAAACATCAATCACTCGCGGGCTTGGCAGCTGCCTCGGCAATCTGCTCACCTGGAACCTGCATGCTCATCAAACAGAAATGGTTGTTGCTTTTCCTATGTCAGTGCAGACGCACGCACAACGAATCGCTGGGGGGTTGATGCCATGAGTGAGGAAGCGAGGAAGCGAGGAAGCGAGGAAGCGAGGAAGCGAGGAAGCGAAGAAGCGAGGAAGCGAGGAAGCGAGGAAGCGAGGAAGCGAGGAAGCGAGGAAGCGAGGAAGCGAGGAAGCGAGGAAGCGAGGAAGCGAGGAAGCGAGGAAGCGAGGAAGCGAGGAAGCGAGGAAGCGAGGAAGCAAGGAAGCAAGGAAGCGAGGAAGCAAGGAAGAAAGGCTAGCAAGAAAGCAAGGAAGCAAGGAAGCAAGGGAGGGAGGGAGGGAGGGAGGGAGGGAGGGAGGGAGGGAGGGAGGCAGGCAGGGAGGGGAGGGGAGGGGAGGAAGTAACAGAGGGAGAGGGAGGGAGAGATGGAAGAGGGAGAGAGAGGGAACGAGGGAACGAGGGAAAGAGGGAAAGAGGGAAAGAGGCAAAGAGGCAAAGAGGGAGAGAGAGGGAGAGAGGGAGAGAGGGAGAGAGAGGAAGAGAGAGTGGGAAAGGGAGGGAGGGAGGGAGGCAGGCAGGCAGGGAGGGGAGCGGAGGAAGGGAGAGAGGGAGAGGGAGGGAGAGAGGGAGGAAGGGAGAGAGAGGGAACGAGGGAAAGAGGGAAAGAGGGAAAGAGGGAAAGAAGGAGAGAGGGAAAAAGAGAGACAGACAGAGAGAGAGAGAGGGAGAGAGAGAGAGAGAGAGAGAGAGAGAGAGAGAGAGAGAGCGAGAGAGAGAGAGAGGGAGAGAGAGGGAGAGAGAGGGAGAGAGGGGGAGAGAGAGGGAGAGACTTGCCAAAGTTTGCAGCCACCCTACCATTCTGAAGCTGGCTGCACGGCTCACACGATTGACATAGATTTGCCCGCCTGAACCACCGAGGCTGCGTCGCTATCCATCACGCATGATCTGCGCTGTCACTTTGCCTTGTTGAGCTGTCAAAGAGTTGGGTTATCACGCCAGAAATGACTCATTCTGCCGAAAACGAATTATTCTGCAAAAAGCTTTCCACAAGCGAAGGCAGAAGCGATCATAGTGGATCGGTTTGATGCTTCAGGCGCGTTGAGACTCTGTCAAGCAGAATGAACCAGGCTAATAGTATTAGGGGCCGTTTAGCATTCAGGGGAAGGGATTGGCTTTCAAACCAGCCAGTGCCGCCATGTTCGTGTCACCAAACCCTTGCCAGCTTTGTGGCACAAGCTCCTGGGCCATCATGGCGAGCGCAAAAATTGGCCCATCTTCTTTGCCCAAAGACTAAAAAGGCAAGGCGAAGTCAGAAGCCATGCCTCTACCTGGAGTCTCCATGACCCTTCAAAAATGGGGTTACCCAAAATTAAGGGGTCATGGACATTTTTTAAGGGTCATGGAGACTCTAGGTACAGCGAGGCCAAACCACTCCGTATGTTGCCAAGGCGAACCACGGGCCCGTGGTCACTGTACATCAGGGCCATCAAGAAGCGGCACAAGTTTTCAGGAGCATGTCAGCCTCTCAGAGCCACACGGAATCGAATTGAGGTCTTCTTATAGCAACCGCATTGGGTTTGTATTTGCACAAAAACCGCATTGAGTTGCGTTTGTAAAAAAAGATTGGGCTGTTCAATATAAGTTTGCTTTTTGCGAAACCCAATGCATTTCTCGTCCAAAATCGTCTTATTCGCCCGTCAGAAGGCATAACGCAAGTGATGCTGCGGCAGAGATCTGGTCTGCGCGAGAGATTGGCAACTTCTTTTCCTGGTACCATTGCTTGCAATATTCACCAACATCCTTGGCTGCATCGTCCTTCCGTGATCAGATCTATGGTGACCTGACTGCTGAAAGCCGAGGATCCTTTCCAGATGCACCAGCTCGAATCATTTCTTGTACTTCTTGCAGCGGATAAGGTCGACCTGGAGCTTGGGTTACCAAGCAGCCAAACCGTAAGGCAGCAGAGTCTGTTTCCAAAGATCGGCTTTGAGAAGTGTTGTGGAAATTGGCGTGGTATGTCTCTTGTGCATGCAGTGCTTTTCAGTCTGGTCGAACCCATGCCAGTTGCCAATCCTTCGCCTTCCTACCAAGCCAATGAGCTTCAACGTCGCCTTGGCTGAAGTTCATGGCTTGCTTCCCGTCGGATCTCCGCTCGATGATCACACATGCCACGTCCAGCGCTGTGGTGGACGCATGCCCCAGAATAGCGCAAACTCCGTTCCTGAGCCGCAAGGCTTCGGCCGAAAACGAGCCTTTGCTTCAGTACGCCGGCCCGACTTCCGCATTGCCCCAACTTCAGCAGCAATCAAAACGCAAGCAAGCATGACGAACCAAAGCCCACGCTACAAACGAACAATTCGATGCTCAAGCCAGACTGCCAGACTGCCAAACGCAAGATCCATGGCGGCCAAGTCTCTCGGCGCTGACCAAATAGTCACAACTCAGAGCGCCTCCGCCTGTCGCAAGGACCAGTTCCCCTGCTCCGGTTGCGCGCTTGCCATGTCAAATGCACCCAGTCAGATCGCATGGCACTCGACTTGAGGTGATGAAGTCGAGCAAGAGCTCCTTCATACCTCTGATGATACAGCGCCTCACAACTAGAAGCGAGCTCTTCAAGGCAAGGCACGTGTGCTGCATTCCCCACGGTTGGCCATGAGGAATGCCACTGTCTGAAGAATGCGACAGAATCTGAAGAGAGGCATCCGCGAAGTGGCCTGAGATCAAGAAATTTCAGACCCAGACGCCTGGTGACAAATTGGTGTTGCCGCCCTTTCAAAACCTCCTTACAAATGATCTGGTGCCAGAGCTCCTTCATTCCCCAAGACTGTGAGTCCAAAAGCATTGTGCCCATCTTGTGTTTTACTGTTCCAATCAGAACAAGGGAGTTGTTTACCAGAGAAAGTGCTCCACCAACCCACGCCGTGTCAGCACAAGATGCACATAAAAATACGGCCGCTTGGTTATAGAACGCTGCAAGTCACTGGCAAATGCAGAGTCCACAGCTTCCAGCTTCTCCTTATTGCATGATGTCACAGCCACTGTGACCTTTTTGCCACCCTCGGCCATCCCGAAGCGCTTGTGGCTTGCAAGAAAACGTCTAGTGCTACATTCCCCGTTCTTTCCAGATGGTTGGAAAGAATGCGAAATCAACCCTTAGAAACTGGTTCTCTCATGAGAACAAAGCATACATTGCCAAAACAATCGTGTGAGCACTCCCATGAGAACAAGAAAGCGTGCGTCCACAATGCGAGTGCTGATTCAACATGCTGCCGTGCAAATTGCGCCCCTTCCCAACGCAAGAAAAATAGTTGCGCAAATGTCACTTGAGTTGTATACGGCTCGGCTTGCCAGCCAAGCAAGCATGGTGGCATGGCAACAACCACAAATAACGCACACTTGTTCACATTTACTTCAACAATGACATGCAATATTCGCTACCAATCTGTTTAAACACCACTTGTAAGCTTATGTTTGTTTTGTTGCTTGCTTTAATCTACATGAAAGAAACAAAAACCCTTTGGCCCTTCTTCGTATCACGTTAAAGTGATGTCCAGCAGCGACGCAAGCTGAGCGAAATTGACACGAGTTTGCAATATAATATGCACGTGACTGTTGCAAAACACACTGCCATCAACTAATTCGCAGTTACTGCGTTTGGCAAAGCAATGGCTGGTGGCTTTCAATTTGCAAGTTTGCAGGCCTCATGCTGCTTCAAGCAGTGCGGTAGAACAAGAGGAACAGCCGTAGAAACTTTGAACTCGCCGGCAAAATACATGGGTTCCAAACAGCTGAAAAACACTAAACAACGCAGATTTTGCGCTCAAACTGCAACTGTCCCAGCGCAAGTACGAGACTTCCCGAACACCTGCCTGGGCTAAAGCCCTGTCTGGCTGGCAGAGTCGGCCAGACCAGTGCCTTGTAAATTTGGCAAATTTGGTACATACCGCTGGTACAAGCATTCGCGCATAGCCATCTCCCGCATTACCGGAAGGAAGCCTTGCCCTTGCCTTTAGCCATTTTCGCAGCCTGGGAAGAACATGTGGCTTTGCCTTCGTGTACTGCTGCTCGGAGCATTTTTGCTGTGTGCGCATTGTAGCCTTTGTTTCGGCGACATTCAGCGGATCAGACCTTCGGCATTGTCCTTGTCAGCTCAAGTCCTGCGTGGTTTGTGCTGGGCAACAAAGACCACTGACCGATTTGGAGTCATCATGGCTAGTCAAGCGCAGATTTTGACCGCCTTGCCTTCCAGACAAAGTGCCCCGCATCCCCGTCTTACCTGCAGGCCTTGGTATGCCTTTGCTGGGCGATCCAGTTGCCGTAGCGTCCCATTGTTGGACAACTGATAACACAGCAAGAAGCAGGCGCCTTCACCCTTCATAGCCTAAAGTGCGCCTTGCTCGCGCAGCACTGTAGTCACGGGCAAGTCTAGAATGGGATCTGCGTTCTCGATTCCATGGCGGAATGTGCAAATGGCGCACACATGCACAAACCCCCATGTGTCGGAGTGCAAGCAGATCTCATCGGCGCGGTTTTCGCAGACATTTGCCACCGAAGCTCACGCCAGAGAAAGTGACAAGCCTTGTTTGACATTCAAGAGCAACTATCCACGCCTTCGGCAAACAGTTTTCCGCAATGCACTCGCCTTGTGCCAAGCGCACATCTTTCACATCCCTTATCAGTAGTATACCACTCGCCTTGGATGGATCCAAAAAGCGCCCTGGATTTGCCCTTTCCTTTCTTAAAGCGGGGCTGAGAAGGCTTCTGATCGCGTTTGCCTTCCCTAACGCAACATTCTGCAGGATGACTTTCGAACCACTGAAATTGTGTTAGCATGCTCTGGGGGGTGCGCAAGGGCTTCCAGGCCAGGCTGGACGCGGTGGAAGCCTGGCAGGCCCAGCGCGGGCCGAAGAACCCGTAAAAATGGAGGCGCTGAGGGATCTCGCCGACGACTTCAACGTGCGGGACCCGCGTAAACTGTATCGCCTCGCGAGGCAGCGAGACCTCGACGTGACGCAGGCCATGGCCTTCGAGGCCCAGATGGATAGATAGATAGATAGATAGATAGATAGATAGATAAATACATAGATAGATAGATAGAATCATAGGTAGATACATAGATGGATAGATAGATAGAGAGAGAGAGAGAGAGAGAGAGAGAGTGACAGAAAGAGTTTGAGAGAGTTAAGGCATGTTGCACTGCTCCTAGCTTGAACCCAAACATGAAACCCCAAAAGAACAAAGCACGTCCGAAGCGGCCGCAGTTCTTTTTACCGGGATTGCTGAAAGTAGCACTGTTTCCAGGGCACTGGTGCGCCTGGAGCAGGAGGCGCATTGACCCCCCGAAATGTGAAAAGGCAAGACAATGCGTGTCCTTGCGTGCACATGCAGTGCTGGTGGGGCGCGGCATGCGTGCCCACGCCCCAAGGTCCGGAGACCGAAGAGTCCGGAGACTCAAGGGACCAATGTGGGTCCGGAGACCTGGTCCGGAGACCAAAAGGCCCGGAGGCCACCAATGAAAGTGCAGAGTGTCTGCCACCTATACTTGCAGAGCCTGGTATAGGGCAGTGCAGGGTGGGTGGGTGGGTTTCAAATGAAACCGCAGGTTTGGGTCAAGGCTAGGAGCAAAACGGCCAACGCGTAGTTCGATTCACAACATGCCCTAAACACAAGGGAAAAGAAACCCTAAGCGTTAAGGCATGTTGCACTGCTCCTAGCTTGAACCCAAACATGAAACCCCAAAAGAACAAAGCTCGTCCGAAGCGGCCGCAGTTCTTTTTACCGGGATTGCTGAAAGTAGCACTGTTTCCAGGGCACTGGTGCGCCTGGAACAGGAGGCGCATTGACCCCCCCTTCAGTGTTTCAGGCAACCCCGGTATAAGCCGCAGGCCTCATCACCCGCCCTTCAGAGTGGGGTTGTACCTGGCAGGGCAACTGCTAGCGTGGCCATGCACGCTTTGGCTGTGAGCAGCCTGTGACGCAGGATCTGCACTTTTTCCGGTCAGAGCGGCTTTATATAAGCGGCTGGCTGACTTTGCCAGTTGTTCTGGCTGACAAGGCGACGGCGGCCATTTGGTCGCAGGGCATGTCGGGATGCAAATAAGGCCGGCTAAGCAGTGACGGATGCTGCTGCCAAATGCTCCGGGCGCCAGGGCGCACGCATCGGACACAGCTGAATGCCTCGGCCTGACATCGCCAGGCCCGCAGGGCTGAAGCGTATGCGACTTTCTGGGCGATGGCTGAATCGGGCCAACCGACCTCTGCTGAGGTCGTCTGCCCAGTCGTTGCACCTTCCTGGGACGTGCGTCGGCTGCAGCAGCACATTATGAGCGTGAGCCCAGAAGGCTGTTAGTTGCACGAAGAGTTGCAACGGCCAGGAGGTCGTGAACAACTTGTTAAGGCTGGCTTCCGTCGCGGAATTGTCCGTGCCTGAAGGCATGCGGAACGAGTAGTGCCCACCACCAATGTGGCTGTGGGTTGCTTGCAGCAACGCCAACTGTGCCAGCGTCTCGAAGCATGCGATGTATCGCTGTCCAGGCTTGACAAGACAAGGCCACACGGCTCGTGTGTCTTGCATGTTCCAGGTCTCGGCAAACCAAACTACTTGGGAGGATGCGATTGCCCAGCCTCCGATCCCTACCAAATCGTCTTCGGCACACGCATCCGCGGCAGCCAGAGCTTGCAGCTGGTGTGGCCGCGCCAAGGGCTGAACAGGCGAGTGCCGAAAGCATGACGCCAGCCAAGTAAGACATTGTTGACTTGACTTGGAAAGGCTAGTGTAGGGGTTGTTAGGGTCCGCAATGCGCACCCATGTGGGCTTGCTAGTGCCAGGCACTCGCGGGATGTCCTGAGGATGGTGCGACCTGAAACTTCCAGGATTTTGGAGCCCACTGTGATCCACAAGCCCGGAAGGCTATGGCTAGTTCTGAGATCCTTGTTCAAGGATGCTCTAAAAGCTGACCACATTTGAGGCGGTATCGAGTGCATTGAGCCTGGTGGGCTGTTGAGGTCTGAATACAGCGGCGCTAGCCAGGATCTGAGGCGCAGGGCAATGCTACGCACTGCTCGAGGGTACCCGTCGGTTACCCAGCAGGGCTTTGATCAGGGCGTCCAGCTTGCTTAGCTTAGCGGATACGAGCTGAATGGTGTCGTGGGAGAAGTTGATCTCCCAACCGCACCAAACCAGGCTGTCCTGGAATTGCGCCTTTTTCCATGAAATGGGCGCTGCAATGGCGCAAAAGAAAAGCACAACCAAGGCAAACATATCTGGAGCGCTATCCCGGAAGAGCGCACACAAAAGGTCGTCCACAAAGAGGAAGGCTTTGTGGGGCTTCCAGGCCAGCAATCCATGCACCTGGCGGAGCAAGAATGCGCCGGTGCGCTGCCACCAGAACGCCGAGAAACGACCCCCGACATGGCACACTCTGTAATGGTAGAGCTTTCCTTGAAAGGCGAAGAGTAGAAGGCCACGCTCGTCCGGGCGGACTTGCACCTGTTTGTGCGCGGCTTTGAAGTCAATGCTGGCGCCTATGAAGGCACCTGGAGTGTCTTCTGGTTGCGTGGACAACGCCAGGTCCGATGCCATTGGCAAGCTCAGGCGCTCTGGTAGATGGCATCTGGTATTCACTTGGCACACGGTGCTGTCCAAGACAAGGCGTGGTTCTTTCCCTTCTGCAAAGACAACGTTTAACTTGCCTACGGCAATGCCTAAGGGCCATTTTTCCCGAGCTTCGGCGATGCTAAGGCTGGTTTCAACAATCCAGTCGTTGGCAATTTCATTGCGCAGCAAGCCTTGCACGGTTTCTGGCTCGTCCTCGGCCATCTTCCAGTTGCCCTCACAAATTTCCAGATCCGGCGGCAGCGCGGAGTCTGGCTTCTTTGCCGGCCATTGAAGGCTGGGTGGCAAGGCTGACACGGCTCCCGCGGGTACCCCGTGTTGCAGAAATGGCAAGAGGGCCATGTCCGGGTCACCCCAAGAGTTATGGCTGTCCTGGCTCGGGGCTCATGTCTGAAGGGCATGGCAATTTTAGAGCCGTGTATGCTAGAGTTGCCACTTCCAGGCTCTCGGAGGGGCAGTCCGGAGAACCGCTTTTGATGTGTGCCAGGATTCGTGGCACGAGTTTGCGCTCATGCATCCAATGCAACCAGGGCCTGG